TTGGCCATTGGATCTCTCGCACCTGGCTAGCTTTCATGGACGAAAGCCAACAGTATGGCAACTACCATGAGATCGCAGCTCTCGCTGCCATTCAACAACCAACTCTCACTGTCTTCATTGGCGATCACAGGCAAACTCCAGGAGGGCTGTCAAAAGGCCGAGCAGCGGCTGCCAATCGACGCAAACTGTTGCAACGGCCGTTAGGGCTCAGAGCGCTTGATAGGCCAGGAGACTATCTTCCACCGGCACGAATGGCAGCACTGGTCGCTCAGCTTTGGCCTGATGCGTGTGCAGCCTACAATGGGTCCCCAGCACTTGTTCATCGACATCGAGGCCACAAGGTCTTCTTTCACGTGGGTATACAGGATCGGCAACTCGTCGTAATACCGGGTATTCATTATTTCGATGCCCATCGGTTGCAACCGGACCTCTTGGACACATTGGATCGCCAAATTGATCCTTGGTCTATGAAACTCGCAAGCCCCGAGGGTGCAGGAGACACAGTGAATGACCCCTCCTCGGATGAGGAAGCAGCCTCTACCGATGACGAGAGTGATCCAGAAGACCCTACAGTTGCATGGTGCCCACCCATACCTGATGCAGCGGAAGATCCCTCTGAAGATGAGATCGCGAGTGCAGCTGACAAGCTAGCAATCATGATTTCTAATGTCCAACCCAACGGAAACCCTTTTTGCATACCCGAAAACCTTGGAGCTCTCCCACCGTTATGGCTACAGGCAAGATTGACGTTGTCTTTGACTGCCATCCAAGAAAAGTTTGCGCGCATCTTGCTGAGTGTGGCCTGTGAACTTTGGTTGCGCGGGCAAATTGCCAGGGTGGAGGATGTCCTCCTGCAGGCGGCAAGGGCCCTCACAATTCGTTTGGCAGAGAAGCTCGCCAAGGCGTTGAGCTCGTTGATGAGATTGGCTGAATCCATGGTGACTCCAGAAACTGAATGTTTGCTGTATGCCACGTACTGGTTTCGGCCCATCCTGTCTGAACTCATTGGCTCGGCCCGAGAGAGCTCTGAGGTGAATCGGAGTCGAGCGCCGAGTGGCCCAGTAAAAGTCCTGGTCACAGATCGACCGCATCGACGCCTGAATGGGCTAGTGGACCTTACGAGTGGTGCCTCTGCCCTACTGGCATGGTTCCCGGCCAGCTGGGCCAGCAAAATTGCTCCCAAACTTCTCGAGAATGCTCCTGAGAATGCGCAGAAACCACAAGCAATTAACATCGCGTGCCCGAAACGTTCCTGTGACGAGACTCCGGTGGAGGGAGCAAAGCAGTTGCTCCAGGCAGTTAAATTTGCTGCCAAAAACATGCCTGGTTTTCGCCTTGGTTTGGATGAAGACTTTCAAATGGCTGGATGTTTCCAGGAGCTCATCCATGGATATACAACAGGGTTCGTTGAACCATACATGATACGAGGTCTCCAACCACTGGGACCGAATCGCACTACGCTGGAAATTATCATTCCCTCTCAATCGGGCTCACACCCGAGAAGTGGAAAGAAACAGCCACACTGTGCCCACTTGATTGGCCTTCCAACTACAGTCTTTTGCGATTGTGGCATACCAATGGGAGCCTCCATCAAACGGAAGCGCGACTCAGGAATCAACTGTCGCATAGCCATATGTTTGCTGAGTGGACAGTGCATCTCCACAGATTTGCAGAGCGCGTCTTATTCCAGCAACCTGCAGTTTATGTAGCGGGACATGCCTTGCAAACCAACCTGCGGGAACGAAACTTCCCAGACAGGAAAGTCCGCAGGAGGGTTCCTCCGACAGACCTGGACGAACATCAAAGGGCGATCCGAGCGCTTCTGCAGCGTGCCACTGACCAACAAAGAGTGAACCCAGTTTCGTTTGGGCTCACCAACGAATGGAACGACACCATTACATCAGATAAAAAGCATTATTTGGAACATTTCACGAGAGGTATGACATGATCCCACGCTCACCCCAGTTTGCATCACTTATACCCTTCTTGTGACCACCCCTTCTCTCCTCTTCTTTTCCCCACTTTTCTGTTTCACTCCGCGTTGTCCCTCACGCAATATGTGGCTTTTGCTTCATCAACAATGTCGGTGGGAGTTGGCTTACTTCTCTACTTGGTCTTTTCGTCAGTTCCACTTAAGGTTACTATCCATACCAGTGTGTCTGTCCAAAGACGTGACAGGTGCACTGGTATGCAGCAGGGGACTCAGCTCTTCCTCATTTATAATTGTCAGGTTCATCGTGCTGAGCATGCCCGGCCCCTACCTATTCAGACCACTCAAACAGTTGGTAGCCACACTCATGTGTAGTAGGTGTGAGTGCCAGCTCAGGTGTAACAGATCGGGCAGTATGGGTTACCTTTGCACTGGTATTTTGAATGTGCTGTCCAGTCGAGAGCTTAGATTATACTAAGGTCTCTTCCACCATGAAGCCTATTGCACTGGCGTGTGCTCTCGCAGCCTTTGCCTGACAATCATAGATGGGTGACGAAACGACTGTTCTCATTTCCAGATTTAGTATTGATGAGACAACCACTCTCCCACCCTTCCCACTAGTTAAGGTATTTGAATCGTTTATTGATCCCTCGTTTTTGCTCTTAGCAGAGCTACCTTAGGTGTTGGTTCCTTGTATTTTGGTTCTGTTTTTGTTGATTTGTTCCCTGCCTGACGTGGCCCCCCCTCCCCCTCGGATGGTCCTCTTTGGCGCCTTGGCCCAGGTTTTTCTGGTCCCTCCCTCTGGGTATCGTTGCTTCCGGCGATGGCCTGGTTGCCTTGCCTCTGTGCGTGGAGTGTTGTGGCGCATTGTCTCCCCTCTTCATTGTGTCTCATGGCAGCAAAGGCCTTTGGCCCTGTGTGGGGATTTTTTCCCTCTACACCATGCTTCCTGTGTTGTTGGGGTGCTGTGTGCTCCCTCACTGAGGTATTCATCATCGTATGATCCTTGGCCCCTTTTTGGATTCCGCTAAGGCACGTTCGTACCCCTTCTGGTGCGTATGTGTCACGTTCTCCCTCTGTCCTCTGCTGCCTCCTGGCTCCTCTCCTCTCTTCTTCTGTGTGGTTTGTGGTGTGGTGTGTGTGGTGCTTTGGCCGCCCCCCACTTTCTGCTTCCCCCCCTTGATGCAGGTTTCTTGTTGGTTGGTTGCTTTTTGTTTGTTTCTTCTTTTGCCTGGATATCGAGGATACTGCCCTTATAATGGCTCTATCATTTCACCCTGGCTACATTGGTCTCATCTGGTTGTGACTAAGGATTCGTCCGAGGTGGGGTAGCTTTTCACCGCCCCCCCTTTTTTTCTCCCCATTTAATTCACTTTGAATTTGGTTTGTTTTCTCTTGTGGCTTCTTCTTCGGCTTCGTATTGGGGAGGGCCCTTCTCCCTATGTGTTGTTTCTGCCTTTGTTCCGAGAGGGGCGGTAGATTCCCGGTAGAGCCATGGACTAGGCTGCATTGCAGTGAGCTTTACTGGCGCTGTCCAGTTGAGCTTCCTGCTGTTCAGTCTGGTGCGCCCGCGTGCAGCAAAGCCTGCCCACATGGTTCGTTGTGCGGATGTTCTGTAGTGCCTTGGCAGATGGCCCACTCGGTGGGAGAGTGGCCTGGTCTGGAATACACTGCTAACTTACGGTGCATCTGGTCCTCTCCGCAGGCTCTTGCTGGGACGATGACGCCTAGTGACTCCTGTCAGAGAATCTGGTGCTGGCGCAGCGAACCATTTCAACCTTCATAGCTTAGGGGGACGAGTTCGACTGCAATACGAATGCAACTGTCGCTTAAATGTCGGCAGTAGCATACTGGTTGTGCTCACGAGCCCATGCTATGGTCAGAAGCTTCGTCTGTCTGTAATGGCCGTATAGTGCCGGTCAGGCTTTCTCAGCCACCTTTTTACCCACTGCCCATTAGGGTCTTGGGCCCTTTACTATATGACGGTTCCTGTGAGGGCTCACACCATCTGGCATGTCTTACAGGCCGTCAGTACTCTCCTCCCCACCTAGGGGGGGCAATAGATCACAATCCCTTGGAACAGACTGACTTGCGTACGCTGAACGATGCAGGATGAACAGCAGCGATGCGGGAGTTGCTACATTGACAAGACGTCCATCCAGGCGGCCTCTGTCGTGCTACACATCAGTCTGCCTGCAACACTGGATTCTCTCATCTGTTCTCAGGTGAGACATTCTGGGCGATCATGTGCTATATCTCACGCACTGCCGCAATGGATAATTAGTTTGCATGTTTTTGAGGATGATACGGTGGCTAAGGTCACTGTATCTAAGGCAAATCTGAATGTGCTTTTTGTTGTTGGGCCCTGCCCCGTTCTTTGTTGCTTCGCTGTTTTGCTTTGAGGCGAAACGCAAATCTGGCTGGGGGATTTGCGGGTCGTTTTTGGTTGTGGTGGTTTTGTTGTTTTTGTTTGTCTTTGGTTTCGTGATGATTTGCCAAAGTTTTTGGACCACACGTGTCCTTGTACATTACTGCTTTTCTTTGCTTACGCAATTGTAAGGACCGAGCCTAGTGCGACATCGGCCAAACCGGAGGAAAAAAAAAATCGATTACTCTGGTGTATGATTCGGAGCGGTCGAAAGATGCTGTGACTTTCAAGCCTAGGTACAGCTCTCTGTGTTTACTCACGAAGTGATAAGCACCTTATTTCAAAAATGGAAAAACCAAAAGTTGCCAAACCTAAACTGGAACTTTTTGGTGAAAGCTTGTTGACGTTTTTCTTTTTTCCAAACTGTCTGTTTGTTTTCTCAGAACAGTTCAGCTCATTTCATATCTTTCCTCATTTTACACCTCAAGTGGTGGGCGGTGGGTTTCCTCCAATTTTGGTCCAATGGACCGCGTTTAGCCTGGGGGAGTGAGCAATGGCTGAGCCCTCCGAAACTGCTAGTGCTTCAGACGTCAACTTAGACTTGTTTGGAGGGCACGGTGTTGGTTTTGAAGATTCACCTCGTGGAGAAGCTGTTTTACATGAACCTGCAAAACCTGGTTTTTCCGTGCAAATTTTGGACAGGACCTTTTTGACAACCTGGACTTTGCAAGGGCTGTGGATTCTTGTTTCAAATCCTTGGAGTCAAAACCTGTTTTGCTGCCTTGGGAGTCACGAGCATGGAGACCGATTTTTCAACAGAATTTTGACTACATGGATGACTTCAACATGGGTAGCATTTTCCGTCCGATTTTGCCGGGACCTGTTGCAGAGCTCTCAGTTCAGAAGAAGATCAAACTGACACCTCCAGTCGTGTTGTCCTCTAACTTTGCACGTGCAGTTGTCAAACACCCTGAAGAGACTTGGATGGACAAACGGGACTCTGAGTTGCAAACAGGGTTGAAACGTTGGCTCACTTGCATCTTGTCCTGGGATCCCACGGTGAAGGTGGTACAGGAATTGAATAGCTGTGCAATTATAGCAGACGGACTGACCTTGCTGCGTGGCTACATGGGTACTAAAGCACCTGCAACCTTGTACAAGCGTGTCAACAGTTTGGGAATCTTATTTCAGCATGTCAGACTTCAAGATTTTCCATGTACTGAATTGCAACTGTATCAGGCGCTGTGCGACATCCGGAGTGCGGGTTGCAAGCCAAGTCGCATTAAGCTCTTTTCTGCGAAGCAGATAATGCCTTATCTTGTACATTTCAAACCAGTTGCGCTTTATTTGCCATGAATGCATGGCTTTGCACACGCAACGTTGCTGTATGCGTTCCTTGTTCCTACGTCTCCCTGTCTCCGCGTCTTTGCGTTGCCGACTACGCGTTACGCGCTATGCGGTGTTCCGCTGGCCGGTGTTGATCTTGGTCCTCACGACACCCTGTTTATTGCCGAATACCTTTTCGGTTTGTGCGCGTGAGTTTTTTGATCAACTTATTTTTTCACAACCTGTTTTGTCTGAACCAGTTTCTGTGTTTATTTTAACTGGAACCATTGCATGTTTCACGGTGGCAAACTTAATTATATGTTTGCACCGCTGCCTGGCTAGTGGTGGGTGGGCGGGTTTGTCCACTACGCTTCGTAGTTTTTGTTCAATGGCCAACGCTGCAGCGCGCGGCAAGACCCTGCTGGCATCACCTGTGGCATTCAAGCCACTTCAGCCACAGACTTTCTCAGTCCGGGCCCATTTTATTTCACTGATTTCAGGATTTTTTGCTGCAACAGTGATTTTCCTCAGTTGGTTGCTGTCGTTGTGATCTTGCACTTTCATGCAACCACGTCAGCTTGGGTTTAGGCCATTACAAACCTCTACAACTGCTTGTTCATTCATTTTTACGGGTACAGGGGCTGCACTTTTGGTACATCATTCCATCCTTGAGTTTCTTTACACACCTGACACTGTGAATTTGGACATAATTTGCCTTGGTCGCACAGCGGCTGCGTGCTGGGTGGCGACCTCAAGGTGGACCCAGGTCGACATACCAAGTATTGCAACTCAAGTTTCTTTTGCAGACTCAACGCCATAATTTGAATGTCAAGTGGGGGTAAGATGACTCATGAATTTTCGAATCAGGCTGCTGATGGATCGCCTGCAGGTGATGATGGGTTTTGGAACGGTCGTGAACTCACGGCTGACCCAATTGAATCTTTTTCCTCAATGAACCCACTTGCAAGTGACCCCATTGAGCAGTTTTCTGATTCACACGAAAGAGGAGTTCTGCACTCAGCACCGTTTGATGTTTCTGCGCATTTGGGTGGCAACTATGACTCAGTTTTATTTGACAGTGCTTCTGCTTGCAGTAATGCTGGTATAGCTGAAGATGGTTTCGTCACTCCGAGCCTTGCGCGTTCAGCAGCTGGGGACACAATCATGGACACCATGTCAGACGATGGATGCAGGGACCACAGTGCTACGCAGAAGGGTTTTGCACAGATTTTGGAATTGCAGAAGCCACAATTCATTTGGGAACAGGACAGTTTTCTCAGCGCGGTTTTTGGAAAGGGCAATGTTGTGGATGATCTCTTTCCACATGTCTCCATGAAAAGACCAGCGTCATTGCCGGTTGATTTGACAGGTGATGAAGCTGATGAGGCGCCGATCCACAAGGCGCTGAGAAGAGGCCAGTTCAAGGCGCTGTATTCCAGGTCCATCAAACAGAGTGCAGTGGTACATGAAGAGACACAGAGAGCTAACTTTATGTCTGGCTGGACATCCATTGTGCTGTTGAACCTTTTTGCATTTGCAGCATTCGACAGAGTGCGTTGTGAGAGCCTTGAAGCAGAGATGCGGGCCGTGGTATACACGACGGTGGTTGAGTGCTTATCGAGGAAAGCCACCAGCACGGTAGGAAAGAGGTTAGGGGCAATGAGGAGGTTTGCAGAGTTTTGCACTGCGAGGGCCTTGCCCCCTTTTCCATTGGATGACAGCTGCATGCATGCGTATTTGCTTTGGCTCTCAACAGATTCTCGTGCACGAGGTTCTTCTGGGAAGTCGTTTTTGGAAGCTGTGCGCTTTACAAGTTCGATGTTAGGCCTGCGCAGCAAGGAACTACAGCTCATCTCACAGCGTGTCACGGGCCTAGCAGATTCCTTGGTCAAGCAGGCACCTGTGATTGAACGAGCAATTGCGTTGACAGTTGAGCAGATCAAAAAGATTGAGATGATTTGCTGCAATTCAGAATCGTTGCAAGACAGGGTGCTTGTTGGAGGCATTTTGCTGATGATATATGGTAGTGCAAGAGCTTCAGACATGGCACGTGCAATCAAATTGCTGGTTGACAGGGACGTTAGGCAGTTGGATGAGCGTGAAGCCAACGAACCTGAGGGATTCATAGAGTTGGCGGTGCTTGGCAACAAGGGCGCCAGGAGCGACGTCCACCGGCGATTGCTGCTTCCGGTTGTGGCTCCAATGATGAGCCTGAGTGGAGCCAAATGGTGGGATGCTTTCCTGGAGGCGCGCATGGCTCTTGGTCTTGAGACGGAAGGGAGACTGAAGTGGCCTCTTTTATGCAGGTTCGATTCAGATGGAAAGCCCCTTGAGCAGAACTTGACCGCCTCCGAGATAGGAGAACTCTTGCGCCAATGCTTGAACATCAAAACCGAGAGGCGCAATGTCGTGCGCAGCCACTCTTGCAAAGTCACGATACTTTCGTGGTTGGCAAAATATGGAACAGAGCTCCATGTCCGCAGACTGGTCGGGCACCACCTGGATGTTGGGGCTAAGAGCGCTGAGACATACGCGCGTGACAGCATGGCTCCAGCAATGCGGGCCGTAGCTCAGGTGATCAATGCTGTGATCCAAGGCGTTTTTGCCCCAGATGTCACCAGGTCTGGAAGATTCTTGAAGCCACCTGCAAAAGATGCTCCAACAGCCAACGATGGGGAGAACTCGGATGGCTCATATGAATTTCCCTTCAGTGACGATGACAGAGTTGGAGGCGACACAGATGCGACAGCAACTGACAGCTCGTCTGATGCTGGATCGACCTCAAGTGAAACTGTGAACGACGCCACAACGCTGTGGGAACTGTTGCGTCCAGAGCTTAGACCAGCACTCGTTCGAGTGGGAACCAACTTGGAGAAGTACACACACTCCATCTCGTTTGTTGTCCACTTGAAGATGCCAACTGAGAAAAAGTTCCTTTGTGGCCGAGTGTGCAACGGTCGCTATGAGAACAGACCCCATGATGCATCGGAAGAGTGTCCAAAGTGCACGACGTGTTTTGGGAGCAAAGAGGCATTGGCCTCTAGCGAAGGCCTCGTCGATGGGGCTTGATGACATATACGGCGGCATTTGAGATCATTGCCATGGCGGTAAAAAAGGATCTCACGTGCTGAGCCATTCACGTCAGTTAGGCAGATGAACATTGAATTGTTTGTATTTTATCAGATTTCATTTTTGACTGCGAACGTCCCGATAAGCTGTGGTGGATGTACATGGAGTGAATGCACGACATTTGACCACCGCCACAGCTGAAATGGACGTCATGAACCCATTTTGCACAATGGACAATCTTGATCGATTGTTGCACAACCATCTCAAGCCGTGCATTTTGCGCGCAATGCACAGACGGAGCACAATTCATGGATCAGTCTTGAACTCAGACCATCCATGTTGGACACGACGCCTGTTTAAATGAACACCTGCACACAGTACATACACAGCTTTAATTTCCGGAGCTTCAAATTGAACACTGTGACTGCTGAGTTTGAATGTATCCTCAAGCTGTCTGATGTACATCTTGGTTTTTCATTTTGCATGTCGTTTATTTTCAACAGTTTTAACCAGCCAACAGACCCGTGACGATGGACGCTTATGCTGAGTCAGCTGCAAGTTTCAGGCATAGGTGCACAGAGATTGGACTGTCAGCGGCTGAAATCAATGCCCTTGAGACTCAGAATTTGAAGACGTTCAACAATTTGGCCTTTGCAGTTTGTGGCCAGCCGGGTCAATTGGATGCGGGCCGCTTCCAGCAAGTTATGGATGGTGCCTTCCATGCTCCGACAATAGGGCTGGAATCAATGATGAGGCAGCTCAGCTATGAAGCAATTACGGTTGCTGTTGCAGCCATTAGGCTGCGTGTTGAGCCACAGCAAGAGGGCCAAATCAAACGATTGCCGCCCCAAGAGCGAGATGAAAGGATTCGAAAGCAGGCTGCAGCAATCACTGGCTTTACAATTCAAGGTGATTATGAACCAGCACATGCGGTTGTCGACTTCTTCACGACGATGTTGGAGGAATGTGCTCCGAGATACCTTCCTCTGTCCAAGTGCATCAGCAGAGAGCAAGAGCTATAGCCCCAGAGAGTCGACAAGCGCATTGTGGTGCTTGAAGATCAACAACTACAAGTCAAAAAACCGGGCCCCAGATGCAGTGGCCGACTCGTCAACTGACTTGAAGGTGCAGAACGCCTCCATTAGGCCTGGCTTGGCATGTGAACAAGCTGGATTGATCAACTATGCAACACATGAAAAGGTGAGGCATGCTTTCATGGCACATATGACGAGGGCACCACCTGGCGGGTTTAGAGCACCCGACAATGCAGCGGTGCTGAGAGCCGACAAGGAGCTTTGGATGAAAGCTTTCGAGCGTTGCAAATCGAGCATCCGCATGGAGCCGTCAGGCAAATTGCCTATGGATGGTGCTCTCCTGGACCTTTACAATTCGCCAGAGGTTGTTTTCCACCTCCTGCCAACATCGGCTGCTGCAGGGACTAAGAGGCCACGCTCACCTGACAGCCCGGCTGGTGCAAGGACCAAGGCGGATCCGCCACAGCCTAAGGGGAAACCTGCCGCCAAGCCCAAGAACAAGAACAAAAAGCGCGCTTCAGACAGAGTCAAGGTGCCTGACACTCTTAAGGGGTACAGCGGCATGAGCAAGGACAACTTGCGGATATGCTACAATTACAATCTTCCGCATGGTTGTTCCAATGGAACGCATGAAAAATATGGACACACTCGATGCGTCAAAGGGTGCCATGAATGTATCAAATGCGGCGGCAGACACTCCATGCAGTCATGCCAAAAGAAGTGACAAATACCTGCCGCAGTCCCCACACCTCTGTCAGAAGCTGTTTGTGTGGAGATTTTTTTTTGCGGCAAAGCAAAACTCTCAAAAAGATTGCGTGCCAAACAATTCCAGGTCATCTCAGTTGATTATGTGGCCCTCAAAAGAGTGCCAATTTTGCGGATCGACATTCGAAGGCCGACCAGCGCAAAGTGCTTGAGGAATTGATTTTGTTGGACAAAGTTTTGTATGTGCATTTGGCACCTCCATGCGGCACGGCGAGTGCAGCAAGGAACATACAACCAGGACCTCCACCTTTGAGGTCTGCTCGTTTTCCCATGGGCCTTCCCAACCTCGGTTTTGTGCAGCGCCAACGTGTTGGCAAAGCGAATTTTCTTTATGCATGGACCTGCAAAGTGATTTTGATGTTGTCTGCAAAAGGCACCGCATGGAGTGTCGAAAACCCTGCCAGCTCATTGATGTGGATCACAGATCCCTTCCTCCAATTGCTAGAAGCGATCCCTGACCTGATTGCCTTCTCCTTCCATACCTGTATGTTTGCAGCCAAAAGAAAAGAAGACACAGCGCTTTGGACAAGCGTGGCCCAATTGCGCACACACCTTGAGCGGAAGTGTGATGACATGCATGAGCGTCAACGTTGGGGCAAAACTGCAACAGGCTTTGCAACGGCAGAGGAATGTGCCTACACGATACGTTGAGCAGTGCTTGGGCAGAAGCCATCTTTGACTACGCCTTGGCCTGTGACTTCACCAAGCCAGCTGAAACCGTCACAGAAATCCAAGCCAGCACAGCCAATGCCACATACCTGAACAAAGCAATTTTGGGTTGCCTTCCGCGTGGGCGTAAGTTGCTGCCCCTGCCTACAGAAAGCCTGCAACCACAGCAGTTTGACATTGCGTCTTTCCCTGATGTTCAAACACTGGCCCTTGGTAAGCGCATCCCTGATCACTGCAGTGCGTTTCCCAAGGGCTCCAAACTTTTGCGTTTTGTAAATGTTTCTGGGGGGGACGATGTGGATGCAAAAGTTGGGCTTCCAAAGGCCGCAGTTATTGGCATCCCAAAAGAACCGAGTCATTTTTTGGCAGAAGCTTGCAAACTTGTTCACCCCACTGTCATGGCCATGTCTGTGGGTGGGATGCTGGTGCAGAATATCCTCCGAGTCATTTTCTGGCAGAAGCTTGCAAACTTGTTCACCCCACTGTCATGGCCATGTCTGTGGGTGGGATGCTGGTGCAGAATATCCTTTCTTATTACGATCCCAGCGGACTCCACTTTAGGAGGATACAATGTGTGTTTGCAAGCAAGCTTGTTTCTTTGTGTGCAGAGTTGCGTGAAGCTGAAAACGTGTGCAGACAGCAAATGGCTAAGAGGACCGTGTTGTTCCAGCGGCTGTTAGATGACATAAAGTACCCCGACAGCAAAGTAGCTTTTGAGCGGAAGACCCTGAGAAAGACAAGCTGACAAGCCCTTCTCAACCATCTTCCAGGCTCTTGGCGTTGAATTCAACTTGGAACTTGTGCCGTATGGCAGCTTCTGTGTTGGAAACACTCCAGCTCGTAAAGAAGAACTTAGGGACCGGTTAACAGACATTTTGGGTGATGACAACTTGGAGCCGCAGATCGCCGAGTCCTTGCGGTCGAGGCTGCTGTTTGCAGACGCTCAAATTTTTGGGCGTTTCTCCAAAATGGCCTTGCACTCCATCGGACGCATCGGCCTGATGCGCAGTAACTTGAACCCTTTGACGACGGAAGTGAGAAGGGCGCTGGAATGGTTCGAGGACCATGTGCTTACCGGGGCCCCCAGGTCCATTTCTTGCGTTGAGAGGGAGACCTTTTTCTTGTTTCTGGATGGAGCCTGCTCAGAAGTAACTGAAGCAGATGAATGGAGCGGTGTGTCTATAGGCGCAGTTTTGGCAGACAAACACGGGAGGTTGTTACACTACTTTGGCCATGTTGTTAGCTCCTCCCTAGTCAAAACTTGGGGGTGAGCCGACCAGGTTCAGCATGTCTTCGAAGCAGAGGTATTGCCTTATGCCATTTGCTTGTGGGTTTGGGACCACCTCCTAAAATATGCTTGTGTGTTTGTTTTCATAGACAATGAAGCTGCCAAAGCTTGTTGGATTGCTGGGATCGCCCAGTCGACGACGGCGCGACGGGTCATCCACATGGTACCATGAGGGAAGCAACCATTGACCTGCATCCCTTCTTCGCTCGTGTCCCAACGCATTCAAACCTTGGTGATGACCCATCAAGGGGTCGATTCAATGAACTGGAACGCTTGGGTGCCAAAAGAACGCTTTTGGACGACAGCTTGATCACAATGCTTTGCACAACGGATACGAGTCCCACACTGGAATCTCGAGGAGGGGCTTGGTGACTGAGGGAACTCGAACTTTCCCCATGCGTTCGTTCAAAAAGCGAGAAGCTGTCCGAGCGGGCACACTCAACTGTCATGAAGTTTTATCAGTTTTGCTTGCGGTGTTTGACGTTTTTCGCATCAGAGTTTGTTGCACACTTGTTTGCGAATTTGTACGCTGTGTTTTTGATTTTACACGGTTTTGTTTTTGTGTTGAATTTCCCTCCCCATGCGTAGTCTGCGTTGCACGTTAAGACGCCCATGTCCACATGAGACGTTGCGCTACAGCAGGTTTGAATTATAGATAAGCTCTTTTCTGCGAAGCAGATAATGCCTTATCTTGTACATTTCAAACCAGTTGCGCTTTATTTGCCATGAATGCATGGCTTTGCACACGCAACGTTGCTGTATGCGTTCCTTGTTCCTACGTCTCCCTGTCTCCGCGTTTTTGCGTTGCCGACTACGCGTTACGCGCTATGCGGTGTTCCGCTGGCCGGTGTTGATCTTGGTCCTCACGACACCCTGTTTATTGCCGAATACCTTTACGGTTTGTGCGCGTGAGTTTTTTGATCAACTTATTTTTTCACAACCTGTTTTGTCTGAACCAGTTTCTGTGTTTATTTTAACTGGAACCATTGCATGTTTCACGGTGGCAAACTTAATTATATGTTTGCACCGCTGCCTGGCTAGTGGTGGGTGGGCGGGTTTGTCCACTACGCTTCGTAGTTTTTGTTCACCCACCCACCCACCACTAACAAAAACAGCGATTGTATAATTAAGCCACACCCTCAGCCCTTGGTGACTGAGGGAACTCGAACTTTCCCCATGCGTTCGTTCAAAAAGCGAGAAGCTGTCCGAGCGGGCACACTCAACTGTCATGAAGTTTTATCAGTTTTGCTTGCGGTGTTTGACGTTTTTCGCATCAGAGTTTGTTGCACACTTGTTTGCGAATTTGTACACTGCGTTTTTGATTTTACACGGTTTTGTTTTTGTGTTGAATTTCCCTCCCCATGCGTAGTCTGCGTTGCACGTTAAGACGCCCATGTCCACATGAGACGTTGCGCTACAGCAGGTTTGAATTATAGATAAGGGCATTGTCGAAGCTGTCACTTTCTGCAGATTCATTTTTGATATTGGCAAGCTCCAGGAGTGTGTCAACAGCAAGAGATGTTTAGGAGTGGCTAGAGGTTTGCCTACAGATTTGCCATACCAAGCTGCACCATTGACTGTCTTGCAACTGACTGAGCTTCACAGACTTGTGCAAGAGTCTGCCGACACCTGGGACAGGGTTTTTGCAGGGGCAGTGTTATTTTGCGTGTACTCACGCAGTCGATGGATGGATTTTCAACATGGCTCTGAGCTCAGGTTGGAGTATGTTGGCGATGACATCAGATACATCTCTTGCAGGGTTTCCACTCACAAAACAATGCATGCTTCTGCTTTTCGTTTTCGTTTCTTGGAACTTTGTGCACCTGCAGTTGGAGTTGTTGATTCAGACTGGATTGGATCCTGGATGGATGCCAGGGCGACAGTAGGGATTCAGGATGGATATCCTCCCATGCCTGCACCTTCAGTGGAGGGTAAGCCCACAGTGCGACCTCTTGGCACAGACGAGTGTGGCGCTTGGTTGAGACTCTTGTTACAGATGAATCCAGTGGCTTCACAGAATGAAGTTCGAATCACCTCACATTCATGCAAGTGCACCATCCTTAGTTATGCAGCCAAACGTGGACTTCCTCATGATGAGCGCTTGGTTTTGGGGCATCACGCCCATCAGGGGCGCATGGCAGATGTGTATGCGCGTGACGCTGAAGCTAGGCCAATGCGCATGATGGAGGAGCTTTTGAACGAAATCAGAAGCAAAAGGTTTTTTCCAGATGAGTCAAGAGCCGGCAGGCTTGTGGATGTCAGTGCAGTGGATGTCATCGAAAAGCCTGGTTCAGCTGCACACCCTTTTGACTTGTCAGGTAAAGCCGAGCAGGTGAAACAGCAATCGGATGAGGCTGGTTGGGAGTGCATCTCCGTGGAATCCAGTGCGTCTGAGCGCAATGAGTCAGATGCTCAGTCTGAACACGTCACAACTGACTCATCATCAGATGAAAGTGAACAGTCTTGTGAACCGCCTGCACCAGCACGTTTGTTTCATCCACCAATGCCACCTGATGGGTGTTATTTTTGGCAACACTGTAAGTCAAAGACTATACATATAATTCAGGATCAAAACGTCAGGATCCTTGAGTGTGGTCGCCAAGTGACCGACGCTTACACCAGGGATTTCCAAACTCGATGGGGCTCCTCAGTTTGCTCTCACTGTCTGAAGCGCACGGCAGGATTCGCCAGGAGTGAATAAAAGTTTTGGTGATGCGCGGTCGAGACCACGATGTAATTCTTCTGAACTCAATTCGAAAACTGCAGTCTCAATTTTTCAGTTTGCACATTCGTTTCATGATCCGATCTGTGCACACTGTCCTGTGTGTCAACATCATCCAGCTGCATAGCCACGTGGTACATCCAGTGGTCATTCCGTGTTGGGTAATTTTATATCCCACACTGGGTTCAAGCGATGCAGCCGTTTATGGGGGGGCGATGCACAGGTACCACGTGGTTCCTCCAGTGGTTTTGCAGTGTTGGGTGAATGACATTCCTCCCACTCTGACCTTTGATCCCCATGAATTTTTTCTTTGCAGTGCAGTTTTATGCTTTCATGAATTTTCATATCACATGTCAGGCACGGCACTTGGAGATGTTTTTAACTTGTAGGACGTCCAGAGGGTGCGAGCCATGTCACTGCTTGATTTAGAGGCCACCTTCAAAAAGAGGGCAATAGAGATCGGAGATGAGACGCTTTTCCAGACCCTTGACAATTCTGGATTAAAGACCTTTAGTGGTCTAGCCTTTGCATGTGGCACACCGCAAGCTCAACCTGATGATACTGCCTTTGGAACGTTTGCTGCAGGAGTTTTTGGAGCTCCACCGACACTGGGCCAGTTGTCTCAACTTCGCAGGTTACACTTTGAAGCTTGCACAATCGTCTTTGCAACCTTGAAGAGCAATGTAGCTGGGGATTTGTCAGACGGTATCAGAAAGCTGCCCCCAGCAGAGAAACAAGCGCGTGCCAAAGATCAGCAGACTAGACTCACTGGTATCACCCTGTCTGGTGAAATGGAGCCTAGCTACGCTTTAGTAGACAAGTGTGCAAGCATGAGAGAGACAGGATCCTTACTTTGGATCCATCCGTCGCAGTGCACCAAGCGTGAACAAGAAGTGCAACAAACTTTGAAGGAAAAATCCCAAGTGCTGAAGATCGAAAACATGACGCTGAAGATGGCCGCTGACACAGAAGCTTTTGAGGCCGACCATGGAACCGAACTCAAACTGATGTGGTGCTTCCAAAGACGTGGATTAGCATTTGACCAAGCGGCCTTGATTTCTTGGGACAAGCATGAGAGTTGGGTGTCAGCAATGTTTCAAGCCTATTCAGCGGAACCACCACCTTCATTTGCGAAAGTGACCATGCCTCAACTGTTGAGGGCAGACAAGGAGTTGTTTACAATTTTAGCAAGGGAAGTGGAGACCATCCAACCTGACACAGTTGGACATCGCCCGCTGGATGATGCGATCATCCGTTTGAAGACGGATCCAAGAGTGACCATGCACTTGCTACCACTGCCAACTAAGGCACATTCAGTGGAGGCGTCAAACGCTTCGAAGCCTGAAAATCCCAGACCTAAGGCCAAACCACGTCCAGGCAAGAGAGCCCGGGCAGCCACTGAAGTAAAAATGCCTGATGAGTTAAAAGGTGGTCACTCCAAGACCGTGGACAACAAACCAATCTGTTGGGCTTACAACATGAAAGACGGGTGCTCTGCAAAGACCTTTGGAAACCCAGTTCGTTGCTCGAAGGGCGTCCACATTTGTGCATTTTGCAGAAAGGGTGGACATACTTTTATGACTTGCCGCCAAAGGGGCAACAACTGACTAGATGAAGAGTGGCCACAAAAATTCGATGCAGAAAATCCTCAACAACTTGATGAGGGTCAGCACAACACCTCAGGTCCAACTGAAGAGTTTTTTGCAAATATTGCCAAAGACACGGAGTGGAAAGACCTTTTGGTAGTCGAGATCTTTGCAGGAACGGCCCGGCTAAGCCGAGCCTTCACCAAACGAGGTTTCAGAGTTTCATCTGTGGATCACACGACAAAAAGATCCACAGGCCTTATCACCATTTTGGACCTCACGAAGGACGAGGACCTAAATTTTTTGCTGGATTTCTTAAAAGCTGAGCTCAATGTGCTGGTCTATATACATTTAGCACCTCCCTGCGGCACAGCCTCAGCCGCCAGAGGAATTCCAGTCCCGGGATGCCCGAAAGAGATGCAGCCTGCGCCTCTCCGTACAAAAGAATTTCCAGATGGATTACCGGGACTCGCGGGACTCGATTTGCTGAAAGTTGAGAAAGCAAATGCTTTGTATCGAGCCACTTCAATAATCGTTCAATTTTGTGTTCTGTATGGTATCGTGGTTTCTATTGAAAACCCTTTGAACTCCCTCTTTTGGCTGACAAAGCCCATGGTCGAACTGTTTGCGCTTTGTGAAGGGTTCCGCGTAGTTTTCGACAATTGCATGATGGGAGGGCAAAGAGACAAAGCAACTTTGTGGTGGTGCAATCGAAACATTTTTTCACCATTGGCGCTGAGATGTAGCAGAGATCACCAGCATAAAAACTGGACACCTGTGTTTGACAAAGCAAATAAACGTTTCAATTTTCCTACCGCCGAAGAAGCGGCCTACCCGGAAATTTTATGCGACCGAGTGGCAAACCTTGTGGATCAAGCACTTCAGCAGTGCAACTTCGTCAGACTGCAAAACTTGGAACAACAAATTCACCACCAAAGATCCACAGCAACCAATTCCATTTTAATGGGACTGTTACCCAGAGGGCGGAAACTGCTCCCTCTGGTCAGTGAATTTCAGTTTTACAGCCAATGGTTGGTGCCACCGCATTTTTCTGTTGCCAATTTGGAGAAACTTTTGCATACTTTCCCCAAAGGAGCCCGAATAGTGAACCGCAAACTCATGCATGGGGGTGACTTTCGGGTTTGCGACAGGATGCTGAACGACGAGCACAGCTCTAAAGAGAGCAAATGCACTTACATAAATGGTTTTGTTGGTAACCTTACTGAACTGCAGCGAGTTGGTGAGCTCCTTTCCATAGGAGTTCCAAGAGAGCCTGAAGACTTTGTAGCTCGTGCGGTGGCAGCAGGCCACCCCAGAAACCTTTTCGCAGAAGACTGGTCGGCGAGAGACCCTTTTGTGCTCGAAAACCTGTCCCCTGATGTTGGACAGCTGTTGGACAAAAGAAATGCGTTTTTCAAAAAATGGATCAAGCGTGCAGGAGAGCTATCCAGCGAAGAGAAAGACCTTCATGACTCACTGGACCCAGAAGTAGCGAAGGTTCTCAAAGGCAAGAGGCTTTTGGTGTCCGAGGAGATTTTGAATGAGATTGGTTTTCCAGATAAAAACCTGGTCAGAGATATTTGTGCGGGTTTCCGCATCACTGGTTGGCTACGTGATTCGATGCTTTTTCCTCACCGATCAAAACCCCCTCAGTACTCAGTTGACGCACTTATGCGTCTTTCCAAGGGCATCAGTCGGAGCATTTTCAAATCTGTGAACACTGAGGAAGTCAGCGATGCTTCAATGGGTGCCTGGGAGGGCACGGTGACTGAGATTGAAAAAGGATGGTTGGTGGAGGATAAACATCCGGACCTGGACAATTTGGTGGTGGCCAGGCGTTTCGGCTTGGCGCAGAAGCTTAAAGTGAGGGTCATCGATGACTTCAAACAATGCGGTGTGAATGGATCCGCCGGCCTTCCTGAAAAGTACGTGCTGCACTCCATCGACGCCATTGCCGCCACTTTGGTCAGAGCTTTGTCCCTAGGCCTTCCAGACGGAGAAAAGCTGTATGGCACCACATTTGACTTGGTGGCGGCCTACAAACAGTATGCTATCCACCCTGAAGACCGTGAGCGTGTCCGCATTTGCGTGAAAGACGTTGAAGAAGGAGTTGCTAAAGTATATAAAATCAATGCATTGCCTTTCGGAGCTTCCGGAAGCGTGGCTGGGTTCCTTCGCATTTCAGCAGCCCTGGCGTGCATTGGTCAGGTATGCCTTGGATTCTGGTGGTGGAGTTTTTTCGACGATTTCCCTACCCTGACCACCTCTTCCTTGGCGGAGCAGTGCAAAGCTCAAGTGCACCTACTGTTTGACCTATTGGGCATCGATTTCGCCCGCGATGGGGACAAAGCAGGTTCATTCGGAGAAGCCTTCAAGGCACTGGGTTTGCTTATTGATTTGTCGGAATTTCCGTCCGGCACCATAAAAATTGGACACACCGAAAGCCGCAGAACAGAGCTCCTGGCGCAGATTGAATTGCACCTCCAGCAGAACTGTTTGAAACCAAAGGATGCAGAAAGACTCAGAGGGCGCTTGCAATGGTATGATACTTTTCTGTTTGGTCGCATAGCGAACTATTCAATGAGTGTGATAGGAAAGAGGGCCACCTCTTGTGCCATGAGCGGCAGCCTGGACCCACCACTTCGCAGAGCCTTGCTGTTTCTCAAAGAACATGTTTTGGTGTCGAAACCGGTTGAATTGACCAGGGCTGCTGGGAAGACTTATTTCATTTTTACTGATGGTGCAGTTGAACCATCAGAAGATGGGACGCAAATGCTCGCCTCTGTTGGAGGTATTCTGTACAATGGCGAAGGCGTAGCAGAGGCGTTTTTCAGTGAAAAGGTTCCGCAGCTAGTCTTGGACATGTTCCTCCAACATTCCAGCCATCCGATCTTCGAGGTCGAGCTCCTGGCAGTTTTGGTTGCGGCACATACGTGGGGCCAGGCGATCGCAAATACCTATGCAGTCTTTTACATAGACAATGAAGCTGCAAAGAGTGCCTTGATGAAGTCTCACTCCAGCGTTTTGTTTGGAAATGTTATCACCACATGCTTTGCACAGATCGAGTTTGAGCAAAACCTGAAGGTTTGGTTTGGAAGAGTGCCATCATACTCAAACCCTTCTGACAAACCCAGCCGTTTCGAAATCCAGCAACTGTTGGACGCTGATTCCGCTTTGGTTAAGCCAAGCTGGGATCAGATTCTGCTTCTGATCGAAATGAAGGAGCAGACACTTTGAAGTGGGGTGGCTAGCGGGTGTCTTACTCGTGAATATTACCCCAATGCGGAAAAAGGAATTTTATAAAGTCCGACAGTGTGCTGCGATCGTTCACTCGTTTTGTTTCTAATAATTTAAGGAATTAATGAGCGTGAAATTTTATATAAATAAAAACGAAAACAAGCGTTCCATTTAGAAATAAAAACCAGTATTCCTTGAGCATCATAAAGGAAAGGTGAGGTGCCCTCACTTCCAGTACGTGCGATGCTGGCATTAAAAGGGTGACCATCCATTCAGCTAAAAATTCAATCATTTTGACTTCGAGTTTGGGGAGAATGGTCTGGACCGCTCGAAGCGCGCCCGCAGTGTCCGGGACATGCTTGCGTGAGGCAGTCCGACCGTTCGCCTGGCATATTCATCAGCAAAGCCTGCACAACTTGGAGACTCACTGGTTCGGTTTCTCCATGTCTATGGTGATCTTGGCCAGGGGCCATGGGTCTGGAAGCGTGGACAAGCAATGCCGTAATTCAGAATTCAGGTCTGAGGAGATGACTGGGAGGGCTTCTCCTTGCGGGCGATAGTCAACTGCTGGCCCTACTGCGCCCTTGCTTTTTTGTGTATGGGTGCGGGCGGCTGTATGCACTGCGTGGATGGTGGACTCATATTGGTTGACCATAGCTCTTAAGTACTTGCATGCGCGGACTGCTGCTCTCCTTGTGTTTGGCCCATCTTCGGGCTGATTCTTGGCAGCTGTTGCCAGGATGTCTCTCGCTTCTTCTTCAGGCGACCGTTTGGGTTCTGTACCCGGTGCAGGTGCAGTCAGAGCGATATCTTGAACTGGTGCCTCTTTCGCGCGTGGCAGGTGGTCTGGGATTGGCAACGTAGGGTGTACCCGCCATCCATCAAAGAAGTATATACCAGGCAGGGACCGGATTTCCTGCTCTGGGCCAGTCTGTGCTACAACTTGCCCGGTGCGGTCTTTGTACAGTCCTGAAGGCAGGCACACGTAGGTGGGAAAGGGTGTGCGATCAGCCGCGTAGGCATATAGGACGACTTCAGAGAACGGGAGAGTCTGCTCGGGGAGCCATTTATGTTGAGTTGCTAAGCCTGTTTTAACTTCTTGGAGGCGCTCTCTGTTTAGCCAGCGAAGGTCTGACACCCGCACCAATATTAGACGGTATCTCGCCCGCTTCACTTCGTTCGCTTGCTGATCGTGGTATTGGTTGGCGATTGCAAGGGGAGGGAATTCCCATGCTGGCGCTGAATTCAGTGACCACCGGCTTAACTGTGCGAGATTCTCTTGTGCTGGGTCAGCATCAAAGTCAGGCCACCCCCATGTCGTTTCTCCTCTTCGGAGGCCCCGGATGCCATATGCAATGGTCGCAATCACCTGCGCCATGCCCATGAGCCCCATCATGTCTAGCGGGGAGACAAGCAGGGTTAACGATTTGGACCGGGCGAGTCCGACAGTGATTCGGCCGAGGCAGTCTTCGGTATCTTCTGTAGGGGAACCATTGGAGTAGTATTTGGTGTTTAAGAACCCGATACTTGGCTGAGCTACGATTGATACCTGTGCTGTTCCTCCCGCTGAGTTGGCTATTGTTTCTACGCGCAGGGTGCGGGCGTAATCCTTCTTAAGCACGGAACGGTTCAAGTTGTTTTTGTGATCTGTTGCCGTGGTCATTACAAAAAGCCCATCTGCGAATCCAGCATTATTGGGGAATGGGTGGAGTACCTCTGAGACGAGCGTTTCTAAGTCTGTTGCTACTAGGCCATTAATTCTAGCATTGGTGTCCCAAAGAACTAATTGAAACCCCGTTGGTCGGTCAGGGAGTCCTCCAGAGGCGAAACTTCCCAGTTCCCACAGGCCGTTGATACATCTGCATAGGTCGGGGTACCGAACTGCCACGACTGAGTGGTATGTCACCGGACTAACTCTGGAACTGGAAGGGAGCATCAACCCCCAGGCATGGATGTCGCTCACTCCGGCGGTCTGAGAGTTTAAGACTGCTTGGATGTCACCAGCCATCGGGAGGAGGGTGGCGGCATGCTGCAAGAACCAGGCAAGGCGTACCAGGGATCGCGGGAGGTTGACTGTCGTGCCTTCCAGCAGTTCTGCGTCCACGAAACGGGAGTGCCGGTGCACATGCGGCTGGGCGGCTTCAAATTGAGCTCTCAGGCCTGGAAGAACAGTGTTGGCTGCTCTGAAGTCTTCCGTATCTTGTGGCGAGAGTTGGCTTGTCCATAGTTGACCTAACGTGGGCTGTCCTCGTTTGAGGATTTGACTGAGAGTAGCTAAGCCTTCATTGGCCGAACCGTCCAACAGCCGGATCATTGCATCTGCAAGGTTAGCTGGCATATAATAATTTCGGTCACTTCGCAGCCCATGCTTTTTCGACAACAGGAGCTGTCGTGATCGTTTCGCGTTGCGGGCTGCACGATCAATGCCGCCGGGTGTTTGCTCTGAGTCTCCTGTCCACAAGACTAAGGGTTGCTGTCTCAGCAGGCTGATGACTGCAATTTCCCGGTCAGTACCATATTGCTGGCCTTCATCAATGACCAGGAGGGAGAGCTCTTGCATGAAGCCACCCATTGTGGACCATTGCATGGTAAGATCCTGGGCTACAGTACCTCTGGTGGCTAAAATTAACTGGCACTTATTCAGCATTTGCCTTCTTTCTCTCGGGTGTATGTCGAATTTCGTGTGGGAGTAACTGCTCTTGTTACGTTCTTGGTCTCCCACCAACCTACCTATGCGCCCAAACACCCCCGACGGGGGGTCGAGCCATAGGAGGAGGTCAACAAAGGATCTGGTACCGGAGTTCTCTTTACAGATGAATAATATTTTGAGACTGTCAGTGACATCGATTCAATTAAGGCCAGGATGAGGATTGCCATCGATTTTGACTTGCCTGCGCCGAAAAGTCCTTGGATACACAGGTCTAAACGATTGGTGAGCAAAGCCATTGTCACTGCGCAGAGTGTGCCCAAGACATGTCCGTCGAGTTCAGCGGCGAAGGATAGTGCAGTGGTGCGGGTCCATGGGTGAGGCTCACCTTCCACGTGACATGGGATTAGCACTAGGCGTAGCAACTGGCCGCACAAATGCAAGAAATGTGATCTTTTGTTGCCATCCATTCCTTCAACTGCCGTTTGGACATTATAGATACCTAATCCCAGGTGGTATCTGCACGGGGGGGTTTGTGCAACAGCGGTAACCTCTCTGGTAGGCTTGGTACATCCGAACATCCACATTGTGTGTAGGAAGAAAGTCCCTGGGACCGGGCCTTGCTGCCCTTGAACGGTCGCATCGATGGGATCCAGGCTCTGGCCGGAGGCAGCATACCAGTCTTGAAGGGCTACGAACTGTTCTTGCGCAAAAAATTCAATGGCTGGCCCTGAGAGAAAAGCTACTTCGATGAATCTGGGGTTGCACTGTCTATGTATGCGAGAGGCAGGCAACTCATCCTTGCTTTTGGATGTGCGTGGCGTGATGGCTAGGACCAACCCAAAAAGGATTTGAAGGTCTCTTCCGTCATCGGCTGGAGCATCGGCGGTGCCTACCATTGCGACAAGCCTTCCCGTGCCGATAGGGCTAACTTTGTGATGGTGTGCATCACTTGCTAGGAGGCTGAAGACTTCAGTTTTGCCAAGGCTCGGATGTCGGAACGCAAATGCATCTTGCCCGCCTTTGACTTTCCAGTGACCAAATTCGCTGCCCTTGAAGAGGAATTCGAATGCAATTGGTTGCCATGGTTGACGGATAGGTCCTGCACTTTGCATTGTTAGCCCTGTTTCATTATAGCCCTCGTTGGGGCTGAGCATGGGCAAATAGTAGTCTAACATGTAGACAGCCATGGGCAGTTGCAGGGTGCCAAGGAAATGTTGAACCATGGTGGTATAGTTGAGCAATTTGGTCCTTGACGCGATGGTAACAGTTGCTAACGAGGCTAAATATTGGGTTGCCTCTTGCTCCGTTTGTACCGCTGAGTTGTGAACAGCAATGTGGGTGACGAGTGCCTGTGTCGTGGTCTCAGGTAGCTCGCACATAATGGCTAGTTCGCGTAGGAGTCTTTTGGCTGTTTTTGGGAGCTCGAAGCTACACCATGAGATCAGGCGGAGGGGAGCCTGTGAGTAAACCTCAAAGGGAAGCACTCCTGGGGTACCCTCTAACTGAGCCATGTCTGGTCGTCCCTCTGGGAGGGCAACTCGTGTCCAGTGCGAGTAGCTATGTTGTGCAGTGCCTAGGTATGCTCTCCATCCTGTGATGTGCGTGATTGCAAAGCCCCGTTGCTTGAGCAGTTTAATGTCTTGGTTGGACGGGTTCCACACGCAAAGCCTGTCATCTGCATGGTGAATATAAGGTGTACCTGTCGAAGCTGAGACAGGCTGTGTGCCGTCAGTAGCGATGGTGGCAGGGCAATGGCTGCTAGCACGGTTTTGCCTTCAACGTCTGGGAATTCCGAGAGGATGGTCTCCCATACCATTCCTGCATACGAGCCAGCGCTGTGTCCTCGAATGTAAAGAGAACCTACCATGTATCCTGTTAATCTGAGACAGTCTACTGGACGGATTTCAGGAGGCAGGCATACTCCGACCAACGGATGTGCAACTAATAACTTAGTAAAGAGTCGCAGGCCATGTGTGTACCCTGGCCATGGTGGTTTCCTATGCGCTGGGGTAATGGGACAGAAGCGCAGCAGTTTCATGGCTCGACTGATGATCTGTGCTTGCAATTGGTCAGCACTGGGCACTCCTAAGACACGGCACCAGGTGTGCGCACCGATGGGAAACATGGCTGTGTGCAGCAGCAAGTATTCTTGTGTGTGGGCAGTTCCTGCAATTGTGCCAGCCCTTGCATTCCAATCGTCCTGTTTGCTGAGGGATGGCCCATACACATGCGCTTCCTTTTTGCAAGCTAGCAGTACATCCCATTCTTCATCGAGTTCTCCTCCACCCAACCCAGTGCACTGAACGTCCAGGGACCCTGGGTCAGCGTCATTGACTTGCCAGGTGGTGTT